CATTCTGAAGGAGAGAGATGTTAAAAACACAGAACAAAAAGCCATCAAAAATGGGAAAGGTTGTTTTGAAACTGAAGAAACAGAACCATTTTTTGTGGCCCTAGGGACCCCCTTCCTTCTCCCCCAAAGCTTGACCGAGTTTCACAAAACATTTCAAGTTTGATGTGCTGTGTTTTGGGGGGAGGCCGAGCTGTTCCTGCTGGGGAGGGTGAGGAGAAACTCCAGGAGCAAAGAAAACAGCTGGAATACAGACAAAGGTGCAGTGGGACTGGTCCCTCCAGCCGGGCTTTAGTACCCTGGCACTGTTTTAGGCTTGATTTTGGTGCTCCTGAGCCCCGTTCCAGCTGCTCCAGCAGCATCCAGGGAAGGCAGAGGTGTCCCCAGTGCCGTGGGAAGGCGGCTGCTCCGGGGATGCAGGACACGCCGCTCCACCCCCGTGCAAAACCCACCTCAAACCCCTTCAAGCCCGGTTATAAATAACGCAGCCGCTGACCTCGCGGAGATTAATCAGTGGGATGGTGTCTCTGCGTGATGTCATCCCGTGTTTTTCCACAGGCCTGTCGAGTTTCAGCGCCGTCTGATCTGCCGATGACAGCCGGGGCTCTCGCCTGCCAGACGGCCCCGGCACGGCCGCCGTCGGTGGGAGGGAGAGGGAGCAGCCGAGAGAGGAGCCCAGCAGGATTTATGGCCGGTTCCTCCCCGTCCTGCTCTCCCTGCACACACACACAGTACACAGATGCCTCGGGAGGATGACGGAAACCGGGGCCGCTCGGGTATTTTTAGGTGTTGTTGCACCATCTCCGGCCTTCGGGGACTTTTCTGACCAAGATCCTGGGTGCTCGGGCACACGTCGGGCTGCTCTGGGAGGAGCCCCTCGGCCAGGTGGGCAGGGAAGGGAGGGATGGAGCCATGCCCAAGCTGATGCCACGGTGCAGGGTGGGTGTCGTGAGGGGAAACCAGCTCTTCCCAGAGTACCTTCCTCCGGGAAGGCACAAAAACTGCTGGGTGGAAACCTGGGTCTGACATCATCACAGTTTTCATCCCCCTATTTGACCTTTACAGTCCAACCTGCAACACGAACACCTGTCCAAGTTGCTCAGGCAGGAGCTGCTCACCTCCAGCTGGGCACCCAAGGAAGAGGAGGATGTGCCCACCTATCAACAGAGGCCAAAGGGTTACACACACCACGTGGCTGCAAGGCCAGGCATTGCATGTCCACACAGCAATTCATCAATTAATCCGAGAAGGAACGAAGCAATTAACAGGGGAACCAGGGGATAGGCTAACAAAGCACATGCCTTCGCTCTGCTAACAGGGCTGGCTCGTGCCTGTTTGTTTGGCTCCTGTTTCTATGGTGGTGGGGCCGTAATGAGGGGTCAATTCATCCTCCTGGTTATTTGCAGCTCTCCAAAGTGTATTCTTAGCACCTCAGACCTTGGGGGTAAAGCCAGGGGCTAACTGGGGACTGCTTGGCCGGTGGGAGCTGTGTTCTTTTGGGGGATAAAAGGCCCTCCTTTCACAGGCAAGTGATGGAGTCGCCAGGGCTCTCCACTCACCACACGCCTGCCTTTGTTGGACAAGGTGCAGCTTGCAGAGAGCACTGGGCTCCTGTGGTGTGATGTCCCAGTGCTGTCCCTGCCCCAGAAAGGGGTTCCTTTACCTGTCTCCAGACAGCTGGAACTGCTTCTCCTCAGCATCCTTCTTGCTACAGTCTGGGGAATGTGGGGGTCCATGGCCAGCTCTGCCAGCAGCTGAGCCCCCAGCACGGAGCAGGACACCCTGCCTCGAGCACAGCTCTCTCCTGGGGCTCTGCCGTGTCACTGTGCTGGGTGGTGACAATGCCCAGCACCGTGTCCCCTGCTGTGCTGTGGCTGGAGAGGAAACAAGCCTGACAGAGGCTGTGCCCCCAAAGGCACACAGTCCCTCTCAGGTCCCTTATGCACAAGTTCAGGAGCTTGACTGAGCTGCACTACCCATCCCAAAGTAAATTCCCAATAAATATGTTTTTATAGGTCTTTGTTGCCTCAGAAAATGGGTTTCCCATGGGGTCAGCCAGCCTGGCACTGAGGGTTATCCCAGGACACTGATTTTTCCCCTTGGGGTTCTGGGCAGCTGTGATTATTCAAGGCTCCCGAGTTATTCCTGGCACTGCCACGTGAAAGGTGAGCTTCCTAGCAGTGCCCAGCACGGGCATTTTGGAGGCATGGCAGCAATCCCTCGGCCACCTCCGCTCGCTCCACGCGCCTGGCACAGCCCCAGCACCTGTGCCTGCACAATCAGAGCAGGAATCCAAGGGGAGGGACAGCTGGAGAGGGACTGTGACCTCCTGCTCACCCTGCCAGAGCGAACTGGGCTCAGGGGGCAGAGCACCCTCACCCACGGGGAGATGGCAGCGGCAGGTGAGACCACACTGCCTCTGTGGAAAGATGGGGAGACCTGTGCAGAGCAGGGGTGGATCTGGTACCCATCCTTGTCTTGCAGACCCTGCCTGATGGTGCCCAGAGCAAGCTGCAAGGCTGGATGCTGCTTATGGAGCAGCTTTTTGGGACAGGGAATGCCATAGACCATCCTCACCTGTGCATTTCCTTACCCTGCTCATCTCCCAAGGGGGACACCAGCCATGGATCCACCATCTGGCCCTTGCCACAGCTCTGTGTGTGACACTGACCCTGCAGGGGCTGCCCTGATGTCCCAGCATGACCAACCACCACCTTCAGCACCCAGAGTGAGTCTGTGGAGCGACCGACCTGCTAAGAAAATAGAGAGCCCGTTCCTTTGAAGTTAATGAATCGTGAAAGCCTTTGAAAGCAGAGCCTTGTTTATTTACTCACCACAGCTCATGTGGACCAGGCACCCAGACGCTCTGAGCGCTGCTAATTTGAATGGAAGATCAAACACCATGAGGCTCTGCCCGGCTGAGCCACAGTCAGAGGAGCAAGGGCTGCCCTGGCCTCCTCACTGCCCAGCCCAGGGAGAGCCTGACACAAACCCAGGGGACAGTCCATGAGCTGTCAGTTGGGTTTTGTGGAGAAGAGCATCAAGAGAAGCCACCAGGTTGACAGGGAAATTCAGCACGGAAATTCACCTGGCCTGGGCATTTCACTTCAACACCAAAGCTGAGCTGAGATCCCCCCTGCAGACACCCATCACCCTCTCCTCGCAGGGCTGGCACCCTCATCCTGAGTTTCACCCTGAGCCAGAGGTCTCCTGCCCAGCCCCACCTCACAGCCAAGACCTGCACACCCACATGAATGTCGTGCTTATCACCTTCCTTCCCCTCTTCTCTCCCCATCAGAGCAAGAAACAGAGAACTCAGGCTCTTCTCTTTGTGTGAAACAACCCATTAACAGAGCAAAGCCCATGAAATGGCCTCAGCAGAGCCCCCAGCACGCTGCCTGCTAGCTTGGGTCTTCTAAACAAATTCACAGCTTTTCACAGTCTATAAATATCAGCCTTTTCAGTGCCACCACTTCAGGGATAAGCTGTAATGCAATATTCCGTGTGGGCTCTCGGACAAAAGGACAGCACCCCACCAGCACCAGCTTTCTGTCACTGCAGTCTTCTGAAGTATAATTGGATTATAACCGAGTGTGAGCTTCCAGTCCCCATTTCTCTCAGGTTGGGGAAGTCTCTCTCTGATCTGAACAACAGGAATGGGAAGGAAAGAGCAGAATGAGGGGAGGGGGCAGCTGAGGGCTCCGGCAATGCGGAAAGGACTCGGGTGGATAATGAGTTTTACAATCCCAGTAAATGATTAGGCATATTGGGAAAGTGCTGGCGATGAGAGGTTACCCAAATGCCTGCTCATCTCCACAGTGTTGAAGGACCAGCCCCACAGGGGCCACATGGGGAAGAGGCAGCTCCCAGGTAGGGCTGGTGTTCAACAGCTGCCAGTCAATATTTTTAGGGTGATAAAGGAAGGAAAGCTGAGTGCCCAGGGCAGCTCATCCACCTTGCGAAGTCACAGGTGACAGGGGCACATAGAGGTGGGAGAACATTCACCAAACTGTCACAAGGGGCTATGCCTGGCCTTGGACACTGATGCCAGGTGGTGACCCTCTCTGGGGCCATCACTGTCCCAGGAAGTGCATGTCCATCCTGTCCCACCCCGCAAACCGCTGCCTGCAGGTCCCCGGGCACCTGCGGGGTACCTGTGGGGTCTGCATCACCTCCACCCCCTCTCTGGGACCCTCACGGCCGCCCCGCACCGGAGCCCCCAGCTCCCCGCAAACCGAGCCCCGTGCGCTGCCCGCTCCCGCCCGCACCAGAGCCGTGAGCACGGCGACGGGCGGGCACAGCCCCCGCCGGGGCGCGGAGCCCCGCGGAGCGCGGCCCACCCTGCGGTTTCCCACCCTGCAGTGACACCTGGCGGGGGGCGAGCGCGGGCGGAGCCGGCCCCGTGCCCCCGCATCCCCGCATCCCTCATCCCGCATCCCGCCGAGCCGCTGCGCCCCTTCCCCCCGGGCGGGGCCCGACGGGGCGGCCGCGACCTGTGGCTCCTCTCCGCGTCCCCCGCGGGTGCGGGCGCGGCGGTGGGAGCGGCCCCCGGTGCGGGGCGGCGGCGGGGGCAGGAGCCCGGAGGGGGCTGTCCGACGTGCCCTCGGGGAGGCGGGGGTCGGTCCGGCCGGAGCGGCGGCTCCGCGCCTCTGACTCTGCCCAATGAGAGCCCGCAGCACGGCGGGCGCCGGCAATATTTGGCCGCGGCCCCCGCGCTCCCATCCCCAGAGCGCCCTCGCCCTCCGCGCAAGGACCTCCATGGCCCGGCCCGGCCCCGCCGCCGCCCGCCCGCGCCGCTCGGGGGCTCCCACCCGCTGAGCGCCCCGCAGCCCCGCGGGGAGCCCCCGCCGCCCCCCGGCCCGGCCCCGCCGCCCCCGCAGCAGCATGAGCCTGGGCGCGGGGGCCCAGCCGGGGCTCGCTCAGCAGCGCGGAGCCGGCGGACGCGCCGCGGGGCCGTGACGGGCAGTGCCCCGAGGGGAGCGCGGGCAGGACCCCCCTCCCCGGTCATTTCTCCGTCTGGACCCCGCCCCGGAGAGATATGCTCAGCCCAAACCGCCTGGAAGCGTCTCCTGGGATTGCCGTGGCCCCCGGGCGTGCGGAGTGCGGAGCCTTCCCTCGGACGGCGGGCGCGGCCCCCCGGCTTTGCCTCCCCCTCGTCCTCCTGCTGCTCGCCCTGACGCCCCGCGCCGACTCCTCGTGGTGGTGAGTGAGTCCCCGCGACGGCGCCGCCGCCCCGACGGTCCCGGGGCCGCCGCCCGCGGGAGCTGCGCGGGGCGCGGTCGAGGGACGGGGATGGAGACGGGGATGGAGACGGGGATAGGGATGAGGAACGGGAACGGTGACAGGATGGGGGACGTGGATGGGGATGGAGACGTGGATGGGGATGGAGACGTGGATGGCGATGGGGACGAGGAAGACCGAGTGGCGGTCGGGGCAGCGCCGGCGGGAGCGCAGCGAACCCCGCCGTGCCGGGGCCGGTGCCCGACGTGCGGCCGTGGGAGCCGGCGGGGACCGGCCGGGGTTGTGCGGGTTCCCCGTCTGTCCCCGCGGCTCCACCTGCGCGGCTCCGGCGGCGTCCCGGGGTGCCGATGTCCCGGTGTCCCGGGGCATCGCGGCGGGAGCGGACTGCACCGTGGTCGGTGCCGGGTCTTTCTCCGCGGCGCAGCCACCGCAGCGCTCCGGGCACCCCACGCCCCGAAAGCGCCGCCGCCCCTCTCCCGGGGCCGGGACTTGCGGCGGGGACCCCCCATTCTGTCGTGGCACCGTGACTCCCCTAAAAGCCATCCCTCCCCGGGCACGGCGGCGAGCAGGGTGAGCCCCTCTGTGCGGTTTAGACCGGGGAAGCGGCAGCAGCTCCCAGCTGATCCGCCCTGATCCCGCCGGAGTTCCCCCATCCCTACGGGCTTCGGTGTTGCCCCGCACGCTCGTGTTACAGTTCTTTGGGAAGCAAAGAAGTTGCTGTTCCCCCTCTCTTGGATAAAGTGAGGCTCTGTAACAGATAGAAATGATGCCACAGAAAATAGGAGCCTTCTAGAAATTAAATCTCCTCCTGCCCCGGTTCCTGTAACGATGAAAATTCATGTATGCGGAATGGGAGTAATTAGGAAAACAAGGATTGCAAAGTTTTCCAAGCGAGACTTCGCGCTGCTTCGGTAGTTCAGCAACACTGGAGAAAAAAATAGTTGGCTGCAGAAAAGTTCTCAGTGTCCCCCACCCTATAAAAGTCCTCTCTAATCTTGTGGAAAACACTGTTTTCCACGCCAATCTCATCATCATTAGCAGATCGCGGTGGATGAGGCAGAACTTAATCAAATTCAACCCATCTGCCGCTGCAAGGGAACGGTGGTTTCTGGAATTCCTCAGCTACCGTGGAGCACTCTGTGAGGGCCCGGGAGCACTTCATAGTCACGCCGATAGCACAAGTATTCCCGGTGTTTGAGAGCACGTCTGGGCGTGTGGCAATCGTGGCCGGGCTGGCATCCCTGGGAGAGCGATTCCAGGGTGAGGAAGGCAGATGGAAAAGCTGTGGGGCTGGGAGGGAGGGGGTTGCTCAGGGGAACGTGCCGCTCAGGCAGCCGGTGGCGACCAGGCACAAAAGGTGGATGGTGTGAGGAGCAGCTTCTTCCAGAGAGCAGGACAGGCTTTGGGGAGCACATAATGAGCAAAGGAGCAAGAGCCCTGCCATTCCCAACCGTGCCCAGAGGAGATCTCCTGCAGCCTGATCAGCCGCGGGGCACTGGAACCACCGGGAGAGAAAATGAGTCACTGCTGGGGAGTCTCAGGTTGATACAAGCACTGGCCTGGCTTCCAGAGCCAGCTCTGCCCCCACCCAGCAGGGCAGGTGAAGGCAGGACGGTTTCTGCGGGCCAGGTGACGTTGCTAAAATCCTAAAAGCTGAGGAAGGAAGGAAGGGACATTGGAGAAGTTGGATTTATTACCATTCTCAAGGAGGCGGGAGAAGGGGAGGCTCATTAGAGCTGAGCAGTGGGTACACGGGGTAATGTGGCCGGAAAAAGAGGAGGTATGGAGTAGTCACAGCATCGTCTGAGCTGGGCAGTTCTGGTAACACACGTGGATGCTGCCTGAGGGGTGAGGATTCTTTCTTTAGGAGGAGTGTAAACACCACCCATTTCCCTTGCTGTCGAACCCCACTTCTCCGCCGCGGTCTGCCCTCATTCCGAGCACATGTCGCTTCCCAGCAAGCGGGAGGAAAACCAGCCACGTTTTAAGCCTCGGTAGCTGTGGCTTGTTTGGAGGAAGCTACATTTAGCTCCCACAGCAGTTTGTGTTCTCAGCTTGCAGACAATCCCTGCCTGGCAGCTCGAGGGGAGAGGAAAGCAGGGCAGCCCTTGGGGGTGCTGGGGCAGGGGGGTGGCTGGGGCTGGGCAGTCCCCCCATGCAGCCCCACAGCCGTGGTGCAGTCAGGCACGGTGCCTTTGGATATTTTCAGTGGGGAAAATTGGTCCCAAGGGCCTTAAATACTCTACTTTTAACCCCCCCCCCCCAAAAAAAAAGTCAAAACCTAAATATATTAAACTAAAATTCACACTTTCAATCGAACTTTCTCTTCTGTAAAGCAGCACACGCCTAAGAAAAGCCTAAACTGAACTGAGCGCTGTTGTGCTGGACGTGTCAGTTCTGATAAAATAGCGTGTTTAGATGAAATTGGGTTTTACTGAAAGTGGTTTCAACCAGCTGTGGTTTGGGAAAAAGTTATTCAGCGATTTGCATAGGTTTCCAAACACATCTTTAGCACCACTGATATTGCAGTAAATACATTTGGTGGTACATCATCGTGCCTTATTTTAATTATTATTGCCAAATTCTTCTAGGGATTCACACACAATAAACTTGCGGAACTGGCGGAAATGCTTCTCATTTCCAGAGTCAACTTTTTAAGTAGTTTAATAGGAAAAACCGGGTCCCTTCTGATCACAGTACATGGAAAGGAAATATCAACCAAATGTCTCTTCTAAACAACTGCAAATTATTAATTTTCGGTGACGTCAGGCACGGCTCAGCCGCCCCGCAGAAACGCCGGGAACGGGTGAACTCTGGCGTCCAAAAAAGTGGCCGTGGGTGCCTGTGGGTGCCTGTGCACGTGCTTGGGGCATGGCACGGTGAGAGCAGTGGCACAGGGGGCAGAAGGGACGGGCTGGTGACACCGTGGTGGTGGCCAGGGCGGTCGTGGCCGCGCTCCGAGGCCGCCGTGACTAACGGTGAGAGCGGGATGGCCGTGGCTGCCGGGAGCAGCACCCTCGCCGTGTAAACGCTTTCCAAACCCGAAAGTGTTACTTAGCAACAAAATACCAGCTGAAACACAGACTGAAATTAAGAAGGAATGCAACGGGGGGAAAATCCCTAAATCCCAGTTTACACTTGCGTGCACCAACCGGGGTGGGGAGAATGGCGCGGTCCTGGGGGGGGACTGGAGGCTGGCAGGGCCGTGCCCTGCGCCCCGCGAGAGAGGCCACAGGGCCCCGAAAGCGGCCTCCGAAATTCCTTCGGAAAGATTTGGGAGAGATTAGACAAATGTTGCTTATAAACATAAACTGTGCAATAAACAAACTCGGGCGCAAAGAACTAAGTAGGGCTCGCTGGCCGTGGAGAGCCCCGCGAGCTGCTGTGGTGTGGAAAACCATTCTGAAGCTGGAGGTTTGGTTAAGGAAAAATGTACACAGAGAAAGGACCCCCCCTGCACCCCACCCTCACACACACAGACCCCCCCCCGGCCCCCAACACACCAAATCCTTGTTAGCTAACTTGTTTATGGCTAACCACAGCCCTTGGAAACTACAAATGTTTAATTTCGTCTGGCATTGGAGCAGATGGGAGGCATCAGGCTCCCAAAGAGATAAAACAAATCTGTGGAAGGGAGACGAGCGCGGGTTTGGGTGCGGGTTGGGGAGCACGTGGGGCCACGTAGGGCTGCCCATGGAATCAGCGGGGTATGGGGGCTCCAAGGGAGCTGCTGAGCTCCAGGGCGTGGTGCCCAGATGGGAATTTTGAGGGATGCTCCGGTTCAGAACCAGGCAGCCACCATGGTCCAGCTGCCTTCCTTGGCCAGGGTGTCCATGGGCATGGAAAACACACAAAGGGCAAGTCATGAAGCAGGAGTGACTCTGTCATTCCCTGTGTGCCAGAGCAACCCCTGGACATGGTGTAGGGCTCTGGCCAAGGGTTTGGCAAGGATACCCCACTGCAGGTGGAGAAGGGGACATTCCCACCACAGTGGGATGGCAGGAGCAGTGATCCCACTGTCCTTCTTCTCCGGGGTTTGCCACATCTCCTCTGTGACACCAGTGCTGGTTCCTGGTCCAGGCGCAGTGGGTGGGCACAAGGAGTGATGGAGAAGTGGAGTTACATGTCCATGTGGATAGAGGATATAGGAGAGAGGTGTGTGGGAGGGGAAATAGCATCAATAGGAATGCTTGAAATTAAGCCAAGGGAAAGACAGCTGCACGGAGGAGCTCCACAGCCCGCCCTGTAACCCTCTGGGGGTGCTGCTGCCTCCCCTCCGTGCCAGTCTCAGCAGGGCAGACCCACAGCAGCCCCCAGAGGTGCTTCACTAGCAGAGGGTCTCAGAGCCAACATGGGGGCTCTGAGGGCTGTGTGTCCACGGCTCTGATGCGTGGATGAACCACTTCCTCTGTGCCAGTGCCCCCTATTCATTATCCACTCAGTCTGGGCACTGATAAGAATCCCAGAATCCCGGAGTGGTTTGGGTTGGAAGGGACCTTAAAAATTATCCAGTTCCAACCCCCCTGCCATGGGCAGGGACAGGGGACAAGGTGCCACCTCGAAGAGGAGAGGACGTGCAGCACTCAGGGCCCGAGGGATCTCCAGGGGTTCGCCCCAGCTGTCAGTCTGTCGCTGCAGAGCACTTTGCATGGCAATAAAAGCAGGAGGTCAGTGACCGGGAAGTCTTTATCCCGAGGCGCTCCGCAGCTCCGGCTGTCCGGGCAGCCCTGCTGTGAAAAATAAGTTTTAAAGTAACGTCAGACTGATGGGGAATGAACCCTGTGGCCTTTGCAGCAGCCCTGGTGTTCTCGGTCGGGGTGGATGGAACAGATGGGTTGTGTCAGTCGCTCTGCGTCGTTACAATAATCCCAACCGTGCTGCTCAGTCCATTTGTCATTAGGGTCACTTTCACCTATAGCAAATCTTTCTCAGGAAGAAATGCAGAAGGAGGAGAAATCCTT